GAGTCTCTGTACGCAATGGCATATAAACGACGTCGATGGCGACGATAATTGAAATATTGTACAAAAATCTATTTTGTCGCAGTTGGCGCATTACACGGTTGGCGCATTACGGGATGGTCTGACTTAGTGTGTTTGTGCTTGGTACGGCGTTAGGCGATCTAGCCTATCAGTTCGTGGGTTTACAGCCTGGTCTCGGCGACCCTGAAGGGTTCTCCTCATCAGCCAACAAGGCTCGGCCTCCTGGGTGTGACGGTAATAGCTAAGCCTAATCAGGCTGTCAGGCTTCTTGAGGGAACAAGTTTCAATTGCCTCTTTCGGTGCGACTGCTCTCTTTCGGTCTCTTATAGATACGTTCCGGTGGCTCTATTAGCCACCGCTTGTTGAAACTACACCAGCCACATGCTCTGTATCTTACCGCTTCTAGCATTTCCTCTTCCAATATTCACCCATCACTCTCTCCCTTCACCCTCAGAGATCTCCAACTCCACTTTATCATTCTCCCCTCTGCTCCAATCTCTCCTGGTTCAATCATATCTATAATTCTGCGGCGCCGTGTCGTAGTAGTCGAGGTAATGACTCGGCTCCATGGAGAAGTTGTCGCGGTGCTGGTCGAACTCGACGGCGTCGTCGGCGATATAGTTGGCCATGATCTCCATGGGGAGTTTGTTGGCCCGGCTCTGGAACCACTCGGACTGGGAGAGGGGGAGGTTGAGACGGGTGATGAAGTTCGGGTACCACGGTGCCTATAGGACGAACAGTGTGTCAGGGAACTGGCAGATCAGACGGTAAAACAAAAGCACGGCAGCGGACCAGAGGGAAGCAAAGGGCCTCGTCGAGGCTGCAACCCCAAGGTTGTGATGCGTGGGGAGTGGTATGTTGTGACACTTACCATCCAAATCTGCGCGACCATGATCCTATCCTGTTCCGTCGCGTTGGGCATTCCGGCGTGCCACGTCCTGAAATCTCTCAACATCACATCCCCTTTATCCATGGTCGCCCGCACAGGCGGCCTCACGGCTCGTCGGGCCTCAATAGCCTCCTCGAGCACCGGACACGACGGCGTGCCGATCCGTTGTTTCCCAAAGACCGTCTCCGGCGTGGCGACGGTCTGATCACGCTCGTCGGTGAAGGCGTGTGAACCGAGCCAGAACTCGGTCGCGCCGTTTTCGAGGGTGAAGTCGTTAAGCGCTGTGTTGGCCACGATGACGAACGGACACTTTGGGTGGCGGAAGCGCGTGTCCTTGTGGACGGGCTGCCGAAGGCCACCTGTACCGGCGAGGGCGTTGTTGCCCGTGGACATGATCCATTTGGGGTTGGCCCCGAGATATCTATACAAATGTCAGCTCAATTTCTTAATTCGGAGAGTGACGAAGCGGGATCAGAGTTGAGGTCCGCTGATCCCGATGTGACAAGGAATATGAAAAGGGAAAGACTTGCGCGTTCATCACCTGGATCACAAACGGGTTGAAATGGACATCTTCAAACAACAGCTCTGGCTTCGTGAATGGAGGTGCCTGTAATATATTCGCTGGATCCTCGACGCATTCATCAGCATTCTGCAGTTTCTTTCCTAGGATTGATGTTGTAGCATTGTCCCTTTGGACTCACATTTCACCCCCTGATTGTATACTTTAGCCCCGGCATGTCTCTCTCTCAAAATCCGGTCCCTGTCACCGCTCATATGTTTGTGCAGGATGTCGCAGTGCTTAGGATCCACAACGCCCTTGAGCACAACCATCCCGTCCTGATGTAGGCCTTCAAGGGCCATCTGCAGGGCTGGCGCCGAGTAGGATCCCTTCCTGACATCTTCTTCCGCCAGTGGCACACGTCGTGGCTCGTCGGGCTTCGGTTCTTGTAAGATGGCAGACGGCATGATTATTGAACTTGAGATCTGATTGTAGATTCTTCTGTGTCCTGGATCCTGAGTTCTGGGGTGCCGCGATACCTCTCTTTGTTTATCCTCCTTGACGTCCAACTCTAGGTACTCTTTTTAAGACTGTCCTGAAACCAGTGTATTCCACCATGAAGACCGCATCAGGCTATCCGGGACGGTGGTTAGAATCGGACCTCGTATCGGTTGACCCTCACTCTCCGCTCGATCGGGGTTATGGTCGGGTATCCACCGTTGATAAGGACAATTGGTTGTCGAGCCATACTAACAAGATAGTGGACGGCCTTGGTTTTGATCGGCTGTGAGAATTAGTGTCTTGTGGGAACCACGGCCTTGACGAGTCTTTGAGCTTATCTTGTTAGACACAAAAAGAGGTGATGAGCGTATGGTGCCGGATACGCGCGATAGGCTCGTGCCAGCCTCCAGGTTGATAGGATCTGCCATTCGATCAACGTGACTGCGTTAGTCTAGACTCATTGACTTGCAGTTGGGCCTTTGTGTCGTTGTAAACTTGTTGCCACCGTGGGAGAAGAAGGGGTCGATGTGTTGGGAAGCGATCAGCTTGTGCCACGTTGTGAGGGACCAGTTGTGTAGTATATCAAAAGACGCAGCCTCTCCCACAACACCCCATACTGTGGTCTCTCTGTGTGTCCCCTCCTCTTCATCATTCTGCTGCTGGCCCTTTCACTCTGATCTCATCGGGCTCCCTCGGAGAGTGCTGGAAGAGTACCGTGGAACTAGTACCAGAGATCTAGCAAGATGGATACTCCCGTCTTAGACAAACCTCAGATCACGGGCATCAACGCCTTTCGTCCCAAGAACCTGCTTGCCTCGTTCCGCATCAAGAAGGCCAACTTCAAGCGTGGGATACAGAGCAAGGAGAACTTCAAACAGTACTTGCGGACTCCAGGGTCGAGTGCAGATCCTACAGGCTCATATTCCTGGATCAACGATGGTATGCTCTTCTCCCACTGCGGGTGCGGTCTGTGATCCTGACAGCATTGGCATTAGATCTCCTCCCAACTCCCCCTGAAGCCCGAACGTGGGCTTGGTGGAACTACTTCTTCTTCTACTTCTCCCTGTCCATGGACAACTGGACGCTGGGGTCGGTCATGATCGGCTGCGGTCTGAACTGGTGGCAGTCTATCCTGATCGTCTTCTTCAGCCAGGTGGTGAGTTCGGTCGCCATGGCCATCAACTCGCGGTCTGGGGAGGTCTACCATGTCGGGTATCCCATCATATCCCGTGCGGTCTTTGGTACATGGGGAGCGTACTACGTGGTCTTTGCGCGTGCAGTGTTGGCCATCGTTTACTACGCCATCAAGCTGTACATTGGATCTTCGTTTGTGGTGAACATGTTGACGGCTGGTATGTCGAAGAAAATGCCTATATGGAAGTCTACTGACACTGGATACAGTATTTGGCGACTCGTACCGCAACCTGCACAACTCGATTCCCGAATCCGTGGGCATGTCGACAGCCCAATTTATCGCCTTCTTCTTGTACTGGCTCGTCCACATCCCCTTCACCCTTCTCAGACCTTACCAGTTACGCTGGGTCTTCACGCTGAAGATGTGCACAGTGGTGCCGGCTTGCTTTGGCTTGTTCATCTTCTGCATGGCCAACACCAAGGGCAACATTGGCGGCGGAATTCCTGGGGCCCCAGCTTCGACGTCGACCAGTTTTGCATGGTTTGTGGTCTATGCATTCAACAGCGGTCTGGGCAATACTGTAAGTTCTGATCTGAAAGACCTGACAAGGAATGTTGAACTCACCCAGTACAAGGCCAACATCATTACGAACCAACCCGATTTTAGTCGTTGGGCCAGATACAAATACGCCTCGATCTGGCCGCAGCTGCTCGCCAACCCGATCAGTGTGACCCTCTCGGCGTCATTGGGTATCCTGGCTACGTCGGCCATCAACCACTCGTGGGGTCTTGAGCTATGGAATCCGTGGGATCTCCTCGAAGCCATTATGCAGCGATATGACACCTCGGCCGTACGGTTTGCCGTGTTTGTGTGTGCGACCTTCTGGGCCCTGTTGATTCTGGGCACGAACATCGCGGCGAACATGATTCCATTTGGTTCGGACAGCACAATGCTTCTGCCACGGTACATCAACATGACCCGAGGGCAGTTCTTGGGGCTCTGCTTGGCCTGGGCGGTCAATCCATGGCAGATTCTTCGATCTGCGACGGGTAAGTGCTCTATGCTTTCGTTATTTCTCCTTCTTGTACAACCATCTCTTACTGACCAAACTCTTTCCAGTCTTCCTCAACTTCCTGGGCGGCTACATCATCTTCATGGCCTCGGCCGTGGGCATCATGGTCGCCGAGTACTTCCTGTTGACCAAGGGCAACATCTTCCTGCAACATCTGTACGACGGCAAGCGCACCAACCCGCACTACTACTACCACCGCGGCTGGAACGTGCAAGCCTACATCGCCTACATTGTCGGCGTGGTGATCCCGTTCCCGGGCTTCTGCGGCTCCCTGGGTGCCAACGTCTCCGAGACGGCCATGAACATCGGCCATCTGGGCTGGTGTCTGTCATTTGTCGTCTCCATCGCCGTCTACGTGCCCCTGTGCTACGTCTGGCCGACCAAGAACCAGAAGATGATCAAGAGCATGGGGCTCAAGTTTGAAGAGACGGCCGCCGAGGAGTTCAACCCGGCCGATCTCCCGAATTACAACCTGGCCGTCATTCACGGCCGCGAGGTCTTGACCTCGACCGCCGGACCTGCAAACAGTGAGGAGGCGGACATTGAGTCGACGACGGAGAAAGACGTCGGTCGCCAGACTGTGGTGGTGTCGGCGTCGAAGATGGAGTGATGGAATCCTACCAATATATCTAACTATACAAGTTCATATCCAGTCGTTCACTATATATATACCAGATATACTATACCAGCAGAAATCTATATGAAAGAGGTGGGGCTGATGGGATGTGACGACCCGGGAATACGCAATGCTATTATTACTTTCCCCAGAGAAGCAATACGAGACTTGACAATAGATTCTGTACCTCGTAGACTGAGACCAGAGTATTACCAAGTGCAATCCACTTTCCATGACTTGATCCTGTGTTCTTTTGTTGATTGTGGATCGAAGTGGTACCTAAGATAACTATAGTGAGGTTGTCAATACCACAACGACTCCAACCCTTTGACTTACACCACTAGAAAGTCGACCAAAACGAGGAACCCGCAAGTGTGCAATGAACATAGTGTATTCAGCGTGGAGTGCCACGGGTGCCAGCCTCGTCGGTTTCTCAGATGAAACGGGAAAAGGAGACAGAAAACTTCCTATCCGGCACTTCGCCCATGTCCGAATCTCCTATCTGTTGCCTTGACAGAGGCATTTCCTACCTGGGCAGGTAATTATTATTCGTACCCCCCCTGCAACGTCGCCCGGGGTTCTCCACTCTCTGTCTTTCTCCAAAAAGACTCCCCCCAGGTTCATTGTTGTCCCCAGGAGTGTTGACTGTTGAGAGGTGATGGAGGGTGATGGGGCGTAAAGGTGGGAAGTTCTGCCCGGATAGCTGATGTTGCCTCTGTGAGGTGGGAGGGTGGTCCGCTTGATTGTTCATACACTTGTTCGCAAACGGATGGAAGGTAAATGCAGCAAGATGGACGATAGATGCCCGGATGGTGGTGGTCCCGGTTGTGAGCTCGTCGTTATCAGCGTCTCGCGCCCCTTCTCTCTCTGGGGGTGGATCTACGCTCGAGCTCCGTCTTGTCTCGGGCTCTCTCGTTGAGGACTTGAGTCTGCTCTCTATGGCGGTCTCCCTTCGCCTCCTCCTGTTCTACCCGACATCGATTTCGCCTAGCCCGTGCCCTGGTGGCAATGAATTGGAGACCTCAACACCCGCCCTACCTGTGCATAGAGGCAGATCTATCTTGTGGCAAAGGTCCGCTCTGCTCGATAGGCTTGATCACTATACCGCCATTGGCCGTGTTGTATTCCCCCACCACCTTTTCTGGACCCCGTCGATTCCATCCCATGTACTGCCCCGTACGCTTTGTTCGGGACCTGTGATTTTCGGCTTCGAACATGGAAGGATGGATGGAGAACCAAAGCCCGATGGAACTCACAGCTCGTATTACTGCGGATCCAATCTCTGAGGGAACAATGCGAGGAGATGGTTCGTGAGAGCCTTGGCCAGACCTGGTCTTTGTAAAAACATGTCATCTCTTTAACACATTACATTCGTGCATAATTTCATTCCCTCGTGGGTGCTCCCCTGACATCGTCGCCATTATTACTCTTGGGGATACCTCCCGCATCGAACAAGAATGGAGTTTGATCTGATTGTGCGCAACGGCAATGTCGTGACGGCGTCGGATATTTGGTACAATTGCGATATTGGGATCAAGGTGAGTGAGTGCAAGTCTGAAGGGCAGAAAAGGGAAGAGATGAGGGAAAACAAATGAGGAACAAGAATGTATTCCTGTACTTGGCCTGGGACTTGTGGAGAAAAGGAACAAGAGAGGGAGAGGAAAAGAACACAAAACAATCGTTGGGGGAAAATCCATGGATAGAATTGCTTTGCCGTCCACAATTCTTTGCCTTTACTCATTCCCGAACCTTGACGCATCTTTTGTCATATAACAGTGCAAGACTAACACTGTGTTACCTATTCAGAATGGCACCATCGTCGCCGTGGCCCGCGACCTCCCGATCCGCAACGGCGACCAAGTCTCCATCCTGGACGCCGAGGGCGCCTACATCACCCCAGGCGGCATCGACACGCACGTTCACCTGAGCCAACTCTACGAAGCGTCGGTCGACAGTCTCATGCGCACGCAAATCACCAACGGCAAGATCCCCGACCTGGCAAACTACACCAACGACACGTACGACACAGGCACGCGCAGCGCCGTGGCCGGCGGCACCACCACCGTCATCACCTTTGCGAGCCAGCTGCGCGACGACGAGAGCCTGGTGCCCGTGCTGGAGGAGTACGCGAAGCTCGCCGACGGCCAGTCGTACTGCGACTACGCCTTCCACATGATCCTGTCGAACCCGACCAAACACGTTCTCGACGTCGATCTGCCCATGATGGTCGAGAAATACGGCATCACCAGCGTCAAGATATACATGACCTACAAGGCCTTCCAGCTCAGAGACTACCAGATCCTGGATGTCATGCACGCGGCGCGCCGCCTGGGCATTACGACCATGGTACACGCCGAGAACGCCGATGTCATTGATTGGATGACGGAGCATCTGGAGGAGCAGGGCATGACGGCGCCTTATCATCACGGGACGTCGAGACCGCCGATTGTCGAGGCCGAGGCCACGGTAAGTCATCTTCCCCAAGACCTTGGAACGTAGAAACCGCAGGACAGAAAACAGGAACCAGACGAACGGAGAGCTGACCCCTTTTGTCTTGGGGCAGAATCGAGCCATTGTCCTTTCTGAGCTCATGGACACGCCCATACTGCTCGTCCACATCTCCGGCGGACATGCCACGCGCGTCATTCGCGACGCCCAAACCCGGCTCCTGCCCGTGCACGGCGAGACCTGTCCGCAATACCTCTTCCTCCTTGCCGACAGTATGAAGAAGGAGGGCTTCGAGGGCGCCAAGTGCGTCTGCTCGCCGCCCATCCGCGAAGAGGCGGCTGACCAAGACGCCATCTGGACGGGGATCAAGAACGGCACCTTCACCACCCTGTCATCAGACCACGCACCCATCAAGTTCGATCACCCACAAGGCAAGCTGCGGGGTCTGGCCCACGGAGGCGGCGAACAGGGCAAGTTCCAATACATCCCCAACGGACTGCCGGGGGTCGAGACGCGAGTGCCACTGCTGTGGTCCGGCGGCGTGCTCACGGGACGCATCACGCCGCAGAAGTTTGTCGAGGTCACGGCGACGAATCCGGCCAAGCTATACGGTCTGTCCAACAAAGGCACCATCGGCCCGGGCTTCGACGCAGACTTGACCATCTGGTATCCGCAGGACAAATTCAAGCCGTTCAAATTGACCAACGACATGTTGCACCACGCAATTGACTACACGCCGTTTGAGGGCATCGAGTTCAAGAATTGGCCGAGGTACACGCTGGTCAGAGGCACCGTCGTTTTCAAGGAAGGTGAGGTGGTCGGCAAGTTGGGCTACGGCAAGTATCAGCACAGGACCAAGAGTACCCTGAGCGGCCCGCGGAATCAGTTTCTCAGTGAGTGGCGGCCGGTATATCCCATGAATTAGCGCTAGACCTGCAGAATAGACATTGTAAGAAGAAACCCACGGTCGGAATTTCCGTATCAGAATCCAACTAATAATCTACAAAGATCCCCAATGGGACTGGTAAAGCTGGTGGTGTCCTGCCGATTTTCCGAGATCGGATTTGACCGTTTCGCCCATCCCCGGAGGGACTCTTTCCGATCAGGAGTGAGTGAGTGTTGCTATCAGGCGGGGGGATGGAGACGGGGGGCTGAAAGACCCACAGAGAGATATCCTTCAGATGGACTGACTCTGTTGGGAAAGGTTTAGGACAGCCTTATCCAAAAGCATTTGGGACAGCGTTGGTTGTTCAGTAGTGGTGAGACCATCTCAGTTATTCCGGACTCGTTCCATCTCAAGACGTAGAGACTTTCACAGGCATCACGAGTCTTGAACATCATTCAATCTCCAGAATTGCTTGCCATCGTTCAGCATGGTTCTCAAATCGTGGCTAGATGTGCCCGAGGATCATGACTTTTCGATTGAAAATCTCCCTTTCGGCATTTTTTCAACAGCCGATAATGTAGGTCGCTGGCAATATCAATGTCTTGATGATGCAGTTCTTTCATGAGAGGTATGGCGAGGTAACACGGTGCTTAGGTGACGCCGCGACCTGGCATCGCAATCGGGAGATTCATCGTCGACCTGGCAGCATTGGTCGACACAGAGGCATTCTCAATGTACTGCACCTGTCAGTTCCCGTACACGGTGTTGAAGGAGGTATCCATCATGTTCCCATCCACCATCCCGTCCCGCACGGAGTGCGAAATGCAAAGGCAGAGTGATCTTTCTAACTTGGCCAGACCGTGTTGAATTCCTTTGCAGCTCTTGGTCGCGAAACAGTCAACGCGGTGCGCATGTTTGTGAAATATCTGCTCGTTGAGATGACGCCGATCATGAGAGATAACAAAGACCTGAGGAAGAAGTGCATCGTCGACACGGCCGAGGTCAAGGTCGAGATGCACCTGCCCATGAAGATTGGAGATTTCACCGATTTCCTGAACTCTCGAACGGTGAGTAGTTGACGATCTTCTGATTTCAAGGCAATCAAATGGGCCAATTGGAAGCGAAGCTAACAGTCCAAGCACGCAAAAAACACCCATTCAACAAGCAGCACGCCAGTAAACATGTTAGTGGACAGACCCTGGCTTGACAACACTGCCTCATATTGGATTCAGGTTCAATCCGCCTCGTGCGTTCACTGCTCGCGCATCCAGTCTTGTGGTTTCGGAGACCCCGATCGTGCGTCCGATGGGACATTTGATCGACTCAAATGGTAAGGCATATGTGGGACCGTCACAACAGATGGACGTCGAGATGGAGTTTGCTTTCTTCCTGGGCGAAGGAATCAAACGCTTCGACCGGGTTTCGATCGATGAGGCAGAGAACCACATATTTGGTGTCGTGCTTCTAAACGACTGGTCAAGTATATCTCTCCTCTGTGATCTGTTTGTGCGTAAGACTGATAATGTCAACATCCAGCCCGTGATGTCCAGGCTCCTGAAGACCATCCTTTTGCCGCCTTCAATGCCAAGTCCTTCGCCTCGACCATCAGCCCCTGGGTCGTGTCGATCGACGCGCTGGAGCCCTATCGCACGAAGATCCAGCCCCAAGAGCCGTCAGACCAGTTACCGTATCTGATTGACAAAAAGAGTCTTGGTACCTTTGACATCTCTATTCGCATGCAATGGACGCTTTCACCTGAGGGAGAGGTGTTCGACACCTCCACCAGCAACTTGACCAATGCGTACTGGTCATTTACGCAGATGTTGGCCCACCATGCATTCGGGGGTTGCGAAATGAGGACAGGAGACCTGATCGGAACCGGTACACTTACTGGAGAGGTAAGGAGAGGAGAAACCTCACTTGAGTTTGTTCGCCAGCCTGACCCATGAATTAGGGCCCAGAATCAATTTGTTCTCTGGTTGAGCGAACACAGAACGGGGCAAAACAGGTACAGACTCCTTCGGGGAACAAGAGACTTTATGTTCAAGACGGGGACAAGGTCACGTTTACGGGTTGGGCGGGTGAAAAGGGGGATCAATCATTGTCAGGGAAGAGGGTCGGTTTCGGGATCTGCGAGGGTATAATTGTTCCGGCGAGGCCCCTCTAGAGCCTGTGATGGACAGACAAAGCGCAAGAGCGAAGTGTGGGGTGTGTAGAGGGTTGATTTGAGAGGAAGAGAACAAGACGAAGTTGATGTTGGATGTCCACCGTAGATATTGAGCTAGCCGTAAAGGGAAATCCAAATCATGTGACTGTATTTTTAGGCTAGTCCTCAATTGAAACAATGGTCATGTGATATGTCGCCCAGCATTGCTCCTGCGTTGTGATTGGTTGGAGCGACCTCTATCCAATTCCTCGCGATAAGAAACTCCCGCGCCAAAGGAATCTTGACTCTTCCTTCGACGTTGCCATTGCTTTGCCTCGTATTGTTCATTTCCCTCATAACTCAACACGGCCTCTCTGTGACTCCTCCAATGGACGATCGCTTTTTTCCGTGCCTATAGTCATGCTGCGGACGGAACAGTCATTGGACATGACTTTCCACCATGTTTTCTACCGCTTTACATCCAGCATCTCCCCAGTTTCAAGAGCTTCCGGCTCCACTCACAGCCCCCACAAGGCTCCGTCGACCTCGCACTCGACGGTCGTGTGACTTTTGTCGGTCTCGAAAGAGTGCTTGTCGGCTCGACCAAGGTCCTCCATGTTACGCCTGCCGTCTGTATGCCCGGGAGTGTGTCATCAGTGAGAGACCGCCGCGGAAGAGGCAAAAGTCGACGAGCGAGGCAGGGAAAGCCACCGCAGGTCCAGTTGCCGCTCACGACAAAGGTGCCGCCAGATCTGTGCATACTGATATACCCAGAGCATCGAATTGGACACAGGGAGCCCAGGCCGCCGCCTCTGCCAGCAATGATGTGGATCTCGCCATCTTCTCCCCTCAATCTAACGGCAGCTCGCAGCAGATGTCGCCCACACAGGGGGCAGGCTCTGTGACTTCACAAGTCTCGATCGAGTCAGGTCGGCCGACAACGCGACACAACGTCGTGGGACGAGAATATGACACGTTGACCGAGTCCTTGGACGCATGGCCGACCAAAACCACCTTCCTCTTAGGAGATACAGGCGAGTCGGATCCCTATCTTCTCCGGCACTTTTCGACAGAGTGCCTTGACTCGTCGGTGGATGACATTGCCAAGGTGACACCCCGACATATGCTACGTGCATCAGACCCAGATGTCATGCACAGTCAAGGAAAGCCCTTGATCATGTCAATTGCCGACCATTCGCTATACGACCGAGGAGAACCGCGACTGGACCAGTCAGTCCTTGACCAAGCGGCGGATGAGGTTGCCCAGATGGTCTCGGATGAGACAGGTGTCCGACTGGTCAAACTCTTCTTCCGATACATCTACCCGTATTTCCCTATCTTGTCAAAGAGCCGTCTTCTGTACCCGCTGGTGGAACTCCCTTCTCGGCTCAAACAGCTCCCACTCTCGCTCAAAGCGGCGATCTACGCATCTGCTCTCGCCTTCTTCACATACGACGATGTTCTAGCCACCACGATTGTCCATTCGCCGCCTTCGAGCCAGCGATTATACCGCATTGCCTGGGTTGCTGTGACGCACGAAGTCCACACGCCTCACCTTTCCACACTACAATCATGTCTGCTCCTTCTCCAGCGAGTCAATGACGACCGATATGTGATGGACACGGTGTTTCGCTGGAGTTTGCTCGGCTGGACCGTGGCTCTGGCGCAGACATTTGGCTTGTCCACCGACTGCCTCGACTGGACGGGGCTTCCAGACTGGGAAAAGCGGCTGCGTCGACGCCTTTGGTGGGCGACTTTTGTCATGGACAAATGGGCATTTATGTCGGCAGGCTTGTCGAGTCACATCCACGACGATAGCTACGATGTTTCGCCCCTGAACGCGGCCGACTTTATCTCTTCTGGGGAGACAGAGTCATCTCAACAGCAGCAAAACAACGGCAACATCGAAGCTGCCGGCTCCACGGCCACCGCAGAACCTCCCTTGTCCCACTTTTATCACCTTACCCGCCTCACGGCAATCCTCAGCGATATCCAGACAGCTTTCTTCACCATTGCCGCGTCCAAACGCACCGAACGCGACTTTAAACTCTCGATCGAGCTGGCGAAGCCGATCCGTCGCCGCTTGAAGGAGTGGAAGACCTCATACGACGCCTATCTCGACACTACGCACCTGCACGGCCATCATAATCACCACAACGCCACTTCTATGCGTTCCCGATCGTCTGGGCTGGATGGTAACGCCTCTCTAGGTCTAAGCTACCTCGTCACGAACATCATGCTCTTCCGCGCGCTGCTCCGGCCCCTCGAATCCAACCTTCCGTCCACCTCGGTCCCGTCCTCCTCGTCCGAGGCCGGCCACGACGCCGTCCGCATTGGCGCAAAGACATGCTGCATCGAAGCCGTCGAGTTTGTCGAGTCTCTGCGCCGCAACGTCTGGGACGCCTTCTGGCACTCGTGGTCGCGCGCCGGGTTCGCCATGATCTCCTCCATGATGATCCGTCTGCTGATTACGAGCGAGGACCCGGGCGAGGTCGACGACATCAACGCGCTCATCAGGCGGTGGCGCTGGGCGTTGCGCACGGGCGGAGGCAGTGCCGGGAACGTCCTGATGAGTCTGGCGCTGCTACGGCTCGATCGGTCGCTGGTCACGCGGGGGATTCACGAGAGTGACGAGGAGTGAACTTTTTGGGCGAAAAATTGAAAAGACTGTGCGTTATGCGGGCGGAGTCAGGGAGCTATAGGATGGTGTTCAAAGGACAATGACAATGACTAGGGTGGTATTCAGCAGTCAATAATGGACTCGATCTCTGTCGTATTACGGGAGTTTGTTCCTTGCGCCTGGCGACACATGGATATCTCCGAGTATCGATATATTAAGATTGTTTCGGACCGGTTTTTTTTTTTTTTTTTTTTTGGGTTCACGAGAAACTATTCTCGTGAGCCGTGGAAGCGGGCGTCTACAGAGCCTATGTATGTACTTGGTACGAGTTCTAACGAATCTAGTCCCGTCCAGTCCCTCTGATCCGATCGGAGCTGGTCTACCTACTCGTACGTCAATCTAGCCTGTCATCTTTACGTGCGCCCAGTGGATCCCTCGCTCTCTTACGGAGTACCTCCTCGCATAAACATACCTAAGCATGTGGCATGGGAGTGTCTTGTCTTTGTTTTGAGGGAACGGACGGAGGTCCCTTTCTCCGACCCATCGTTATTGTTGTTGCTTGGTGAGGTGGTGGGATGTTAAGCGCCGGCGGGTTTCAGCCTGTTGGGAACCATGCTAGGATTAATTAAACGATAAATCTCTTGTGCGAGTAATGTAACATAAGGTAGCCGCTGGCCGGGGCACGCCACGGGTTTCGAATCCAACAAAAACACCCTTTGCGCCACTCCTCACTCGATTACCTCTCTGGCGCAATTCATTCTCCATACACCATTCATTCAGCGGCCAACCGGGACAGGTTTCGATCATGGTAATGGTGATGGAAATGGAAAATGGGAACCGCAGTTGGAGGAGCCTGATCAGATCACCCTTGAACCCTGTCAACCGCTTCAGACGTTCTCGAGGTAACTAGGTATGTTGCATGGGTTCATGGTGTGTGGTTCATGGTGCATGCGTTGCGTATCAAAGCGGGACCCCTTCCTCCTCAGCGACCTCGAGGAAGTTCCTGCCGAGGGTGGCGTTCCTGCTGAGACAAGACTTGCGCAATAATGGTCGTTTACCTAGTACCACCTACCACCTACCTATCGTCCCTTTGGGGCCAAAATGCAGGGATGTAGCGTCCTCGGACGGAACGTGTGTCAGAACTTCCCCGGCGTCAGGGCCGGGACCAGGGCTAGCTGCGGCGGCTAAATGATTCATTAGGTACTGAGAGCCGTGGCGGCAGGGGAGACACAATACGAGGGGAGCCTGGAGGTAGGTACCTAACACACCCAGCCACCAGCCATGCCAGGTTACCTCAGGTACTCGTACGTACGGACTACTGAGTACAGGGTGCTTTACCTACCTATTAGGAAGAGTATGACAAGGGTGTGAGGTACTTAGGTATGTGTTCGGTACAGGACGACAGAACGTCAAGAAGAGGCTGGTCCCCTCCCCCTCCCTCCTCTTCCAAATCCAAGACACATGGCTGTGCATGGGTAGGTAGGTAGGTAGGCAGGCTGAATGGCAGGCCGAATGGCAGGCCGGAAGGCAGACACGGCGGCCCAATTCCATCCACCCTTTATACGTACATACAAAACCTCTCTCCAGCAATAGCCGTACTACTCGCGTGTAGCATATCTCATATCATTTTGGCAACAATTATCCTCCTCCTAGCCACATCTCACATCGACTCCAGATCTTGATCGCTTGAATGTTGCCAAACACCAGCAACACCAATAATAACAAAACACTGCCTCAGTTGCCGTTGGTCAAATCGCCTTTGCTTTCGATCAAGCATGCAGAGCAAGTCAAGGCCATGTCACGGCACAGAAACCCACGCCTCCCGCCCAAGGATGTCTATCTCAGCCTGAGCCTGCTCCTGTGCCTGGGCCTCTCCCTCCTGACCGTCTTCTATACTCCCTTCGGCATCTCCCTGGGCCAGATAAACCAGCTCGTGCTGATCGGCTTCCTCGTCGCCGTCATGGGAATGTGTCTCGAAGGCCAGGTCCTGCGCACCGCCCTGATGGCGTGCGGGATGCGTCAGGCTCCCACACTGCAGGACCTGGACGCCCTGATGCGCAAAGATCCCTTCGCAGACAACGTCTACTGGGTACATCGCCTGTTCTTGCTGATTGTGTTTGGGCTGCCGCTGCTGCTCAGTGTTGGGTACAAACAATTCATCGGTGGGAGCAGCACCATCCTTGTGCACGAGGGTCCTGGGTACTTCGGGTTCGCGGCGCCACCTGGCATGCAGCGGATCGGGGATGGTCTCTCACTCCTCTCCCAGGTCTATGTGCCCTTCTGGACCGATCCGGGTCTGAATCGGACATATGGCTTCAACGTCTTCGTCGCGGGCGACAACAAGACTGCCGCAATTGTCGACTCGCCATATCCTTCCTACCTGACAGCAATCCAAAGCAGGCTCAAGGACGGCGAGACGATAACAATGTCCACCACGGTCAACGCAACCGTGTCAGAGGTCAACGACATTTCCGACGAGGACAGGAAGAGCGACGAGTTCTGGCTCGATGTCGCCACTCAGTTCGGGCACGATTTTACCGTCAATGGCGGCAACGTGCGTGGTGCGAACAACGCGCTGTGGGCTGGCATGAGTGACAACTTCCTGACCAATTTCACCACCATGTACTTCTCGGCCTGGAACACCACGAGAAATGAAACATTTGAGTCTGAGGCCATCCGGACGGAGCAGTCGCGGCGCATCGCCAATGTAACGTGGGTGATTTCTCCCTCCAACATTACCCTCACCACGGCCAAGTTTGTCAAGACAGACGAAGTGGTGAATCAGACCGTCATTCAGAATAACGCCATCGGCCTCCAAGAGGCATTCAGCAATTTCCTCGGCGAGTATGACTGGCACAACCGCGCGGGGGACTTTGACTATCCATACCCGATCTCTTCGGACATTGAACCAGTGTATTTCCAACCTGTCAACACAGTCCCAGCTCTGGCAGCGGCCATGGCGTGGGCACGCACATCCAGCCTCAACACCATCGTCCGGCCTCTTGGGATTCAGAACGCAGGAATCCGGGCTTTGACAGGCTACGACAAGGACGAGGTGAATATCGTCACTGTCAAGACCGTGCCGACCCTAAGACGGCATCCTCTCCTGATCCTCCTGCTGGCGGTGAACCCGCTCCTGTCCTTGGTTTGTCTGGCCATCAAGGGTTTGGTACTCCACAACAGTCCCGTCGCAGACGGATTCAGTAGCATCACCTTACTCGCCGCCTCCAGGGAACCAGATTTCATCTCCGACAAGGACGTCGATAATCTCGCCAGTGGTCAGTTGAGGCGGCCGGTCGTCGTGAATTTCGTGACTGAAGGTGGGTGAACGATCTCGATGGCATAGCGGATGCATCGGAAAATTTGTACGAAAATAGGAAATTTATATGATACGATGTTGGAAGAAAAGTAATTGCTGTTTTGGTAGGCTGCAGAAGGGGCTGATGTATGGATGAACTATGTCTTGTTTGATGACGATGCTGGATCTATCAAACTGTCTGCGAGGTGTCTCGAAATAAGGGCTGTCGTTGGATATATGAAAGCTGCTGCATTTCGTCGAGGCGGTCCGCCGATTCCTATAGATAAGTCTAGGCGGAGACACTGCCTTCTTCTGCCACGGATTGTGCTCGAGAACACACAAACACCCGGTGTCGAGGAAGAGGGTTCGATGGGTTTGAAGACGTTCGAATGTTGGCGCTTCCCTCAATTTTTCCGGTCTTAATTGAGACGATCGTAGTCTGGTAGTAAAGTGGTGTGTCATACATACGGCCCATTGAGCGAGCCGATGTACAGCGACTGTTGGTGATCCCCGACCCACTCCTTCAGCTCCTCGGAGATATCCAAGTGACTCTTCTTGACATTCCAGAAGGACGCGGGCAGGAGTGAGTCATTGCCCGTGTCCACCTCGACGATGGCGGCGCGGAGGACGAGGTCCTGCCGCCGAGCCACAGACCACCGCCGTCCACACATGCTGATGCCGTGCATGAGCGTGTCGAAGATGGGTTCGCGCTGCTGGTGCATCTTGCGATAGATGACCAGCTTGAAGCGAGCTGCCACGAAGAGCATAGTCCCCAGGACGGGCGTGCTGAGTTCGGCGTCTGCGTCGCTTATGCTGCGGAGTGCCAGCACGATGTCCTCGCACGCCTGTAAGCATCTTTGCAACGGGATCTCGTTGCACGAGGTTTCGTCCGCTTCAATGAGACGCGCGTAAAGAATAATGACACTCGCGTGCGACAAGATGCTGGTGAGGACGAGGTTGGGATCAAAGTCAATCAATCCATCGGCCAACAGTGTATAGCTGGTTGTGGGCTGTGCACGCACATAGTTCATGAGGTTGTGGTAGATCTCATCACACGTGGCAAATGCCTGGGCCTGGGCTTGGTCATATCTCCCTTGCTCATGGTCGTAAAGGAAGTTATGGAGAGGCTGCAGGCCAATTGCAGCAAGATGCGTGTGGCTGCGGAAGCTGTCCCTGAGGTCCGGCGTGCTCACATACGCCACACTCGACAAATGGTCCATCACTGCAGCCGACACGTCCCTCCACGAGATACCCAAGGTCGTGACGGCATCCATGGCAAGCGAAGACCAGGTCAAGGGGATGGCCAGTTCGTCCCCGGTATTGCTGCCGATCGCTGGAGGGCCGACTTGAGCAGGGCTCTGCAACTGCATTTGATTCAACAATTTTCGGAAAAGGCCAATGTTTTCGCACATTCGACGGCACACAGCAAGTAGGCTGAATGTGCTGGGGAGGTTGTCTGACCCATAGTCCAGGATTGCAATGATCAAGAGTGCTTGGAGGGATTTCAATGATGCTTTGGAGAAGGCCTCGTTCACAACCTGCGACCTGAGATACTGTGAAAGTCTGTATCTCCCATTGTATCCCAGACAGATGGCGTGACTCGAGTATGCTATCTGAAGCGCGATCACGGCCTTGAGCACCACGTCGTCTATGTGTGTCAGAGGCAGAGGGAGGTTATCGAGAGAATTCTGAATCTGTTGCCTGCTCAAGATAGGGTACCAAGGCTGGGTTTCCTTGAACCACGAGTCGGCCAATGTACGGAGATATGCATGTGTCAGGGTCGCCAAATCTGCGGCGGCAGCGTCGGATTCTGCCTGTGTACTGCTAGATCTGGGTGGCTCAACATGAGCAACGGATGGAGTATTGGGGATAGAGTGTTGCGGCGGTGATATGTCAATAGGTTGGGTGGAAGATGTCGTTGCTGCTGCGAGGGCAGGGCTGAAGCTGGGATGTGGCGTCGCCGTTGTCGAGGACGTTGTTCGTTCGTGCTTGAACTTCTCGACCTCTTGCTCCAGAGTGTCTAGCACAGCGTCAGACAATGATTTCTCTTTGACGGGCGGATACGACTACCCAGGCGATTTTCGAGTTGCGTGACATAGCCCGCACGAAGACCTCGTTTCTTCGTCTTGGTCACATACTGGCAGCGGACGTTGGCCTTGACACAGAAGGAACAATTTGGAAGTCGTCTGTCACATTTGGTCTTTCGCTGTCGACAGAGGTGGCACCTGTGTTGATTCGATTAGTCGCAGTGGACAGTGGGAGGGAGGGGCAGATTGTTCACACTGTGGAACTTCTCTGCTCGGAGGCAGAGTTTTCGGGAGATGCGGTGCTCATATTTGCCGCTGGCTGCGTTTTCAGAGGGGAGACTCACGATAGTATGGAAACACAAGAGAAGACAAAGAGAGAAAGCCGTCATCACCATATTGAAGGAAGTATTTTCGACTTGGTGACAGGGTCATCGCCGAGACACGGGCCGATGGATGGTTGTGGGCGCCAGATTTCTCCGCAGGCAACGGCGACACTTGGCCCGACGCATCATCCAGTGTCGTTTGGTATCCAATCTGCAGTCTTGCATATGCATTCTTCTACGTGGCCCAGTAGATGACCATGATTGATTCATGCTTATAAGATCAGGCGACACCCTCTCTGGCCTCTGCACATGCTGCCACTCACGCATCCCACCGCTTCTCAACAAGCACACACCAGTCTTTTGGAGAACCTCGTCTTCCTGTGATGGCTCTCTCTGTGTGTAGCGTCTCCGCTTTCACAAGGAGCTGGACTCGCATATGCTGACCTATAAGAATCCTGCAGTGTTTCTCTACGGGCCTGGAAAAGCACAGATTCAGGACAGACCAGAACCAAGAATCACCGATCCGACCGACGCGATAATCCGTATCAAGTTTGTTGGTGTGTGTGGCAGTGATGTATATCACGTCCTCGAATACCATCCAAAAGAACGAATCTGATGGCTTTCAGGTGCATTTCTGGAATCATGGCGGCGTCAACGGGAAATTTGTCTCCGAGTCAAATCCACTGGTCATGGGGCACGAGGCATCAGGAAGTCAGTTGCATTTCGTCCCGGGAGAATGTCCATTGCTAGAATCAGTCCAGCGCCTACTTCAGTGACAACAACTAACAGTAGTCTGTAGCGGTTCATGCGGTCGGCCCTGCAGTCACCCATCTGAGACCAGGTGATAACGTCGCCATCGAGCCAGGTCAGCCTTGTCGTTCCTGCGAGAGATGCAAGGAAGGGCTGTACAATCTTTGCCCACACATGAAATTCGCCGCCTGCCCCCCAGACACGCCGGGATGCTTGACCAAGTATTTCAAGATCCCCGCCGACTTCTGCTACAAGCTTCCGCCAGGGGTGAGTCTGCAAGAGGGCGTCCTTGCCGAGCCTCTTGCTGTTGCAGCGCATGCTGTGCGAATGATTGGGGTCAAACCAGGTCAGAGCTTGGTCATCTTCGGCGCGGGCACGATTGGCCTTGTTTGTGGTGCCGTAGCCCGACTGTTTGGAGCAAAGAAGATTGTGGCAGTCGACTTGTTGGACCACAAGCTGGAATTTGCAAGGAACCTCAATGCGTCCAATACCTTCAAGCCCGATTTATCTGCTTCGCCCGAAAAGAACGCCGCGCGGCTGATCGAGAAAAATGGGTTGGGACTCGGTGCAGATGCTGTGATAGAGGCCACAGGGGCCGAGAGCTCCATCGTTACAGCCGTGCATGTTCTGCGTCCGGGAGGATCTTGTGTGCAGACTGGCCTGGGGAAGGCCGTCGTCAACTTCCCGATTCTAGCCATGAGCGAAAAGGAATTGCATATGCACGGGGCCTTCCGATACAATCAAGGGGATTTCAAAGTCGCCATGGACGTACTTGAAGCTGGCAAGCTGCCTCTCAAAAGCCTCATCTCCACCATTTTCGATTTCGAGCAAACCACAGACGCATGGGAGGCAACCAAGCAAGGACGGGGTATCAAGAATATGATTCGAGGCTATGGATATAAAGATCCCGCCAGAATTAGCCACTTATAATTTCAACAAAAGTAGTCGTTGGGCGTCCAGCTATTTCCTGTGCTTAGAACTCTGCTCTGAAGAGTCAGAGACAGCTCGCCCTGAAAGAGAGAGGAAGGGCATTCTGCTCATGCAGTCGTCCTATGTAATCCGGTATTGTACAAAATGTCATCAACCATCAAGAGCGGACAATCAGTGCTGACTCCATTCGATGGTATTCAAGTCGATTCCTTCTTGGACCAATTCCCACAAAGGGCTGAGTTCTCTGAGGAAGGTGACACGTTCACGAACAGCTTTCAGAACGTAGTCGATTTCGCTGGTCGTTGTGAAACGTCCAATGCCAAAACGGATACTGCTGTGCGCGCTTTCGTCGCTGTTTCCCAACGCTCGAAGAACATAACTGGGCTCCAAAGACGCAGAGGTGCAAGCACTCCCAGAGGAGAGTGCAATATCCTTGAGGGCCATCAAGAGTGACTCTCCTTCAACGTAGGCAAAGGACACGTTGACACATCCAGGATAACGTCGAGTAGGGTCTCCATTCAAAGAGGTGTGTTCCATCGCAAGCAGTCCATCGACAAGTCGCTTGGAAAGAGAGTTGATGCGTTTGGAATCGTACTGTGCGAACAATTCAAAGTCAGCAGTTGTCCCTCCGAACAATAACTCCGAATAGTAAATAGTTGGGCAGTTGAATATCATAACCCCTGCTATGTTAATCAAGGCTCTGGCATGTGCTTGCAGCCAGACGCTCAGAAAGCCATGCATGTTAAAGAAAGCGTATAATCATCAAACAATTGTCGTCGGAAAAGGGAAATATCTTCTTACCTCCATCTCCTCTTTGGCAATACGACAAGCCTCTCCAAAGCCGACCACCAGATGGGGAGCGAGGGTACCACTGCGGAGACCTCGCTCTTGACCGCCACCACTGATGATGGGGTCCAACCTAACACGAGGCCGTCGTCTAACATAGCATGCCCCAATACCCTTGGGCCCGTAGATTTTGTGGCTCGAAATCGACATCAGGTCGACATTCCAATCATTAACACTAATGGGAATCTTGCCGACGGCCTGGGCGCCGTCGCTGTGGAAGTATACCTTCTTTGATCGACACAGCTGTCCGATCTCTTTCATGGGCTGTATAACACCGATCTCGTTGTTGACAGTCATAATACTGACCAATGCAGTTTCTGGCTTAATTGCGTCCTCGAGCTGTTGTAGATTGATCAAGCCGCTTGAGTCGACTGGCAAATATGTAACCTCAAAGCCTTCGTCTTGTAAATGTCGACAGCTGTCCAAGACGCATTTGTGTTCCGTCTGACTCGTGATGATATGCTTCTTCTTGCCCGACCTGCCAAAGAACCTGGCGACACCTTTGATGCTCATGTTGTTACTTTCGGTGGCACCACTCGTAAAAATAATTTCCTTGGGGTCTGCGCCAATCAGTTTCGCAATGTGTTCTCTTGCTTGTTCGGTGGCCTTCTCGCTTTCCCAACCATAGGCGTGCGTTCTAGAATGAGGGTTGCCAAAGAGGCCAGTGAGGAAAGGGAGCATGGCATCGAGAACTCTGGGATCAACTGGAGTTGTCGCCTGCGCATCCAGGTAGATCGGGCGAGTACCCTGATCCATAATGGTTGCGTGCTTTAGAATGCCAGCTTGGGGACTCAGCATGGCGTCGGCGGTGATATCAGTCCCGGGCATCTTGACCTGGGAGGGGAGATTGCCACTCTCTTGAATAAATTTCTTCTGGTCTGCCTTGATAGCAGACTCGACATCTGCGACCTGTGCGTTGGCTGGTTTGGACTCGGAGACATAGCTGCGACGACCGATGAAGCGTGAGGAGGCAATGGAAGCAGTTCCGGATCGTGAAGAAAGGCTTGCATTGTTGGAAAACCGGCGAGCGCAGGCACGAGAAGCCTGCCGTATCACTGTGGATGCTGGTCCAGACATGTTGTGGGAAATGAATCAGTCCAGCTGACTATGGATCGTTGAGAAGCAAGAAAAATCTGGTGGTCCAGATTGATGATGAATCTGCTTGAGTTTGGTTGACGGGATGGTGTGGCTGATGGGGGGATTTATCAGATTAGATTTTTCGCAAGACCTTCCCTCTTTATCTTGCTTACTTTTCAACCTTCGGCTGTACGCAAATGCGTCAGTGGGTGCCCACTGGCACGTTGGCTCCGGCTAAATGACGGACCTGGTCGGCCATGTCGGCGAGATCCTTGTACAGGCACGACAGGGTGTAAGCACGCCAGTCAGCTTGCAAGACACTACCAGCACCGACCTTGAACTCCATCTCAATGCAGCTAGACATTGTCCAGTGAGTGACAAGGCACAATCCTACTCATTCTCCTTCGCACACCTCCTGCCGCTGTCGCTGCCATCTCTGCTACAAGATCTCCAACGACAAACATCTGGAGGGAAGACAGGGAGCTGCTCGTGCGCACAGCCACAGTCTCTTGACTTGGCTGCGTCATTGCGTCTTGTCGCCCCAGGCTGTTGGTCCAAGCGAATTGTGCCGTCTCCAGCCATCGGTTGCTGCCCACACCCAAACCGCCCCTCCATCTTCCGTCTTCGCATAATTCCACCTACAAAGTACATTAATACCACCTTTAGGCACCCGGATACACTCCACCCCATTCTTCTGCGACGCCTTCAGCAACACTCCCTCCTTACCTTTCGACATTGTTGGATAAACCATTCCGAGACCTCTACACCCACCGAAGGAAGCGAAACAGACCTGATCGCCTGTGCGAGAACTACCGCGCAGAATGAGTCTCAAAGGCGTGGGAAAGAGTATAACTCGAGCCCCACAACAGTTTAAGCAGCGCTTCAATATCGGCGACAATACAAAAGATGCAGTCTACATTGATGCCGAGAGACGCTTTCAGGAGCTGGAGAAGGAGACCAAGAAGCTGCACGACGAGTCGAAAAAGTATTTTGAGGCCATCAATGGTATATCCTCGACGACCCTCTGTCCGTTGACGTCTGTTCTCACATCTGTCTTCTCCAGGCATGCTGAACCACCAGATCGAATTCTCGAAAGCCATCCAGGAGATTTACAAGCCTATATCTGGCCGTGTCTCCGACCCCAACTCGCTCATCCCAGAAGGCAACCCGGAAGGAATTCGAGCCTGCGAAGAGTACGAGTCAATTGTGCGCGAACTACAGGCCACACTGCAGCCAGAGTTGGAAATGATCGAGCAGCGAGTAATAGCGCCGGCTGACCAGTTACTCGAAGTCATCAAGGTCATCCGCAAAATCAATACCAAGCGCGATCACAAACAGCTCGACTTTGACCGACACCGAGCCACCCTCAAAAAGCTGCAGG